TTTAGGTGTTTGGCGACGCCACCCAAGTTAGGAAAGAACATTTGGGACTAAGCAAATGCATTCTTCAGGATTTCAACGTGCATAAAAGGCCTAACAATAACATATGTGCAAAGAACAAGTAGGACTGCCCACAACAGAACACCTGGGAGCCTGGGGGTTTGGAAGACACGGTCTGGCGGCATGCGCATTACTGAAGGAAATGGATGAACCTGCAGACAAGATGCAGATCCACAGGCTTCACGGTGACGCGTTTCGCGTGGGCAGCCGCCAACGCCGCGTACGAGAAGAGGTCCACAAGGAAGGCCTCGGCGGCCTCCTGAAGGCAGTCAAGCGCCGACGCCTGCCAGCGTAGGGTCAGCGCCGACTCGATGCGCGTCCGCTGAGCTATAGACCGCACCGCGCGTGCGAAGGAGGCTCGTCTGCAAGAAAAGGACCGGCGAGACTTGAGCGCCCCGACATTTCACTCAACAAATTAACGGGTGATGTGTGAGACTTGATAGGGGGGAAATGTGGCGTCTACAATAACCAGCAATTCCTCATTTACCGGCGCTAATCATGCCACCCACGATTCCTTAAGCTAATGTAATCGCGGCGCTAATCAAAGACGACGTCTTGCATGCAAATGGAATTCCACCTGGTGCAGACAGCTTCAATTCGGGTTACCATGTATAATTATGCGCATGCCCATTGATCAAGTGGAACGCTGCATGAAGACACAGGTGTCATTTTTTTGGAAATTGGATAGAAGCTTCAGCTCTTGGAAGGTGTGACGGAAGTAGGATAGGTATCTGCGAAAACGTTTGAATACAATAGACATCATACATAGACCGAGGCATCTGGTTGCAGAGCCATGTGGCGTAGGCGCAATAGACAGGATCCTAGAATGTGTTTTGGGTTCCCAAAAACGGCAAAATTGACCAAACCACATTCAAGGAGAGTTTGAGATCTCCAAAGCCATGAATCAATCAGTACGACAACACATTATTGGCGAAGGCAAGGCTCTAAACGCAATTTGTCGTACAACCGACCTTTCAAGAATAAAGTGTGAATTACAGTCAATCCAAGAATGATATTTCAATAAAGGGTCCTTGTGCCAAGGCGGGTGTGAGACAGTGGATCTTTGCAAGATATTTTGGGAGAAACAGAACCCAGTTGACTTTAGTGATTATGCCCCAGAAACATGAAAACAGCAACACTAACGCGAGCACCAACCCAT